TCACTCTGCAATTTCACAGCCGAGCCAGGATCTGAACCCAGACTTCCCAACACCCAGACTCCAGCGCTTTGTCCACTTTCCTACATTGGCTCTAGAAGCCTAAGTCCAGAAACAACAACTTCTATCCCCGGATCCCCCCTCAGCACAACAAAGTCAGGTACGAGGCCCAAAGAAGAGTCAGAAGACCCTACCGTGGGGGAAGAAGCCAGAGGGGACAGTGAGGGGCCTCCCAGAGTGACATGCCTGGTGGCCTGCAAAGAGACTGTCAGGCATGGGCCTCCCAGGGGGCACCTTCCCATTCCCCCAGCCCGTGCCCTCACAGGACAGTAGCACCTTCCACAAATAACTATGAACTGAGTCAGGGTTCACTAAGGGCCAAAGTGGCCCCTTCACCAGGCTGGAGCTAGAGGAAGTCAGGCTGTTCCCCTCTCAGGAGAGGAAAGGCCAGGCCTCACAAAGGAAGCTGAAGCCCTGACTGAAGCAGTCCCAGGCCAGCCAAACCAATCTCGCCTCCCTGGACCCAGGTTCCAGGAGCAGGATGGGCAGGCCTGAAGGGCAAGGCCCGGGCATCCAGACCCTGCTTCCCAGCTCCACCTTTGCCAAGGAGTCACCAAGGATCTGGCACCAGAGCTGGGTCCTGCTGGGCCACCCCGAGGAGAATCACTTACTTATTCATTCAACCATCATTTCCTGAGAGTCTGCCGTGTGCCAGGCCTTGTGCCAGGAGTCAAGGATACAGAGAGGGACAGGGCAGTCTCTGCCTGGGAGGGTTCACAGAGACACTCCATATGCCACAAAACAACAGGGCAAGAAGAGGAAAGTACTCAGTGTAGACAAGCACAGAGGAAGGGGGAGGAAAAGGAAGGGTTTGGAGAAAAGCTGCCATCCACGTTCAGACTTCCTTAACCCTCAGAAAGCTTGGGGTCACACTGGGGAGGCACATGCCCTGGGGAAGGCACTTTTCTGTTCTGGCCTCATGTCACCCTATGAGGTTGTTCCCATTACCCAATTTGTAGATTCAGAAACCGAGGCTCGGAAAGGGTCACAAGGCTAGGAAGGGGCAGAGGCAAGATTCCAGCTCCAGAGTCCAGCTTTCCGCCACCATGCTCTCCCGTCTCCCTGATCTGCAGACAGGCAGAAGGTAGGTAAGGTGGCTTCAGGTGGGGTAAGCAAGGGTGAGGAGGTGGGCCCATCACTGCCCGTGTGAGAGGAGTCGCCCAGTTCACCCAGTATGTGTGGGTGTGGGGGTGTGTGGGGGTGTGTGTGTGTGTGTGTGCACACGCACGCGCGCACACGTGCTTTACAAACAACAGATCCCAGGCCACAGAACTTCCTGAAAGCCAAGGAACGAAGAGGCCATTAGCACTGACAGAGAAGGGCAGCCCAGAGAGGAGAAGGAACTTATCTGAGGTCACACAGCCTGTAAACAAAGGAGTTGGAACTAATTCCAAGAACCAGAACACAGGGCCTCTTCTCTCCCCCTCAGCTGCTTCTCCATGTCAGCATTGAGTGAATCAGCTGCTGACAGGAAAAGCAACAAGTAGGGGGAACCCCAGGGGTGAGTCAGGAGCCAGCCAGCCCCCAGACACCAACTGGGCCTGTGACAGAGGCCCTGTGCCTGTGGTTGGCCTCCTCACAGGCACCATCAGGACGGGGCAAGGGGAGGAGGAAGGCAACACATGCTCACTGTGTTTACCTCTGGGCTTCCCTCCTGGCTCCTCCGATGAGGCTTAGAGGAGGGAAAGCCGGTGGGCAGGGCAGTTCCTGCTGAGATGAAACAGACCCCCCAGCCCTGGCCCCATCCTGTCCCACAGAGGGGCCCAGGCTCTTGCCTCCCTCCCACCTCTCACTGAGCCAACTCCTGACTGTTTGATGCTCTTGATTAAATCATAACCGCCCCCTCTGAGCTTCCCATGGGGTAGAAGAAGTGGTTATAACGGTTTGGAGTAAAGGGCAGGGCCAAGCCAAAACCAGGGGATGCCAGCTGGCCCCAGATGCTCCAAACCCAGAGGAATGCTCAGGGCCTGGGTCTGCTCAGCCTCGGGGCCAGACAGGGCTGTCGGGTCGTCAGGTGCAACGGGGTTGTGTCCCCAGGGTGGGGAGGAAGGAGCTTTCAGACAGTGGCTCAAAAGTCTGAAGCTTCGAGAGGGGACTGCCCCACACTGCAGAAACTTCAGAAGAGCCCACCAAAATCTACCCCCCCCACACATGTGGGAAATTTGTGTCCCCACTGGCTAACCTCTCACCCCAGCCCTCCCTGGGCTGTAGCCAGGAGGGGGAGTGCCGCAGGCTCACTCCCTCCCTCTCAAACCCACTGCTGACTGGTGCAAGCTCCCACCACTTGGCCAGATGACCCCCCTTCCTGGGCAAGCACCGGGCCTCCTGGGCGCCTCCCTCCCTATCACTCCATAGCATGCATCACCCTCCCCAGCACCTCTGAGCCCCTGCTAGGCACGAGGGTGGAGGCTGGGTGGGGGAATAGGAAGAAAACCAGGGCATACATGGGGATCCTTTCCCTTCTCCCTCCCCCCGCCCCATGGTGCCTCTTTCTTCACTCCCAGCAGCAGACACCCCCAAAGGCCCGCAGGCCCCTCCTCCCCCATCACCACAGCCATGGGATCTTTCTCCCTTGACCACTGGGTCCCTCACCCCAGCACATCTGGAGACTGCTTTCCTCAAGTGTCCCTCTGAATACGTCACTCCCTGGCTCAGAAACCTTCAGTGGTTCTCACTTTCTACAAATCAGATCCAAACATCTCACCTTGGCATTGAAGGCCCTCCATGAGTTGATCCAACCCACCATTTCCCCCTTCACATCCCTGCAGGATCCCCATTCTTTGGCCAGACTGATCAACCGGGCAGGTTCTTAAAAAGTCCCTGAACACTCTGACCTCCTGCTTTTGCCTAGGTATTTTCCTCTGCCCAAAACTTTCATTGTAGCTGAGGAAACCTTCCCAATGCTTAAGACCCACCCCAAATTCCACCTCCTCCGTGCAAATTCCCTGTAATACTTTTTTCATTTATCTCCTACCAGAGTCACTGGTATCCCTTCCCAGACGGTAAGCAACTGAGGATGGGGGCAGTGTGTCATCCTTCGTCATGCATCATGTGGGCTGGAGGGGTGCTGGGGGAGACTTCCAGTATTTGCTTACTGAGTACTGTTTGAAATGAACATCTTCTCCTCCCCCTCCACCCCCCATGGGCCCCACCTACTGACCCAAGTTGATCCAACCCAATCAGGACTTGGGAGCCCAGGCAGGAAGTCTTGCTCAAGTGTCACCAACTCCAGGAAGCCCCTCACCCTCTGCCCTGGTTTCTCCAGTGTCTCACTGCTTCTAAGCACCCTCCCCTTCCAGAGGCATACACACCGTTTCCTCCCTATAAGTGCAGCCTTCAGTCAGACTCTTCCCACGCTACTTTCTAGCTGGTTCCAAATTGTAGGGCTCATCTCCCCAGGACATTCAGGGAACCGGCATACAGCACCCCCAGTCTCCTTTGGGCCCCAGCCTTGGTTGAACAGGTTAACAAGTGCCCACACTGACTCTCACCTTCACCCCAAGCCAAGTGTTCAGTGGAATAGCCGGGTTCCAGACACCAGAGCAGTACAGACTCATGAAATCTCATCTGGCCCCAAGCCCTGGGTGTGCGTTATCTGCCCCAGCAGGGGCATGGTAGGGGTGGGGGGCCCTCACTGTCAGCAACCCAAAATGAAGGCAGAGCCCAGGTCTGGCTAGGTCACCTCTGTATCCCTGAGCTCCATCTAATATATAGTAGGTGCTCAGTAAACATTTTCGGGTTTATGTAACTGGACAACCACCAACTTCCAGCACTATTACAGAAAACGCAGCCACTCTTTGATCCAGATGACACACTCCCCAAACCTGAAATGGACAAAGTGATGCAGGTGGCAGGTGGCAATTTCTGGCCCTCACAAGGTCAGGAGGGGCTGCAACCAGCTTCCAGCCCTCTGAAAACAGGCTCATTCTCAGGCAGGAAGCCAGCCCATCACCTGCCCATCGGTGTCAGGGCAGCTGTTATATAGTGAGGGCTCACTGGGTGCCTGGCGCCTTGCTAACCACTGTATATGAATTATTCTGTTTAGTCCTCACTACTGCCCTTGGGTTCTGCCAGGACTCCCATTCTACAGATGAGGAAACTGAAGCTTGGAGGTGAGTGGAATCCTAATCGGTTCGGTCCCAGAACCTAAGATCTTGCCCACTGAACTAGGCTGCCCAGCGACTATGACCCTGGCACAGGGCACCCACCAGCACCAGGAACAGAAACCTCCAGCCCAGTGAACTAACCCTGAGCATGCAGCAAGAGCCCTGGGCTTGACTCTGAGCCCAAAGTTTGGCGGGGTTTTCCCTTCTCTTCCCCCATAAGAACTTGTCCCGGGCCAGCTCACCTGGAAATGCCCCAGGAAGGGGACAAAAGCCCCCGCTGAGGTTGTGGTCTGAAGTCTTACTGGGATCTCAGTGTCGGGGGCAAGGGAAGACTGACATTTCCCTGCTTTAGGCTGCTTCCTCAGGGCTTGTGGGCTTAAGCCCCATCCGAGGAACTGGGGTGAACTTTCAGGTACTTCGCTTAATGCTCCGGGAGAGTTCCCTTGGCTCAGTGCCACCGGGTAGGGAGAGCTGGGCAGCCCGCTGTGAACACCTGTGGCTGAACTGCAGCCCGCTCTCACCTGCCGGCCCTCACCTTCCGGGCTTTTCGTGAGAAAGGGCAACGGGAGCACGGAGTTCACCTGGTCCAACCTCCTCCGTTTATGGAACCCGAGAAGTCCAGAGCAGGGGGAGGGGGGCCGGGCCCGGGGCCACACGGCTGGTAGATGACGCAGCCAGAGAACTGGGGGTCAGGACTCGGGGACTTCGGCTCCTTTTCACCCACCAGCTGCTTCTGTCACTTGCTCCGAGAAAGCTGCCTAAGCGGGCTCTGGAAGTGGGGACGAAAACTAACTTTGCTACTCTTTGTCCGTTCGGCCTCCCCCCTGCCCCTCTCACCTGCTGGCTTTGCTTTCTGCTCGGCGCTGCAAGCCCGGCGTCGCCAGCTCGCGCCCGTCAGCGTCCTACTGCGCAGCCCTGGGCTCACTCACTCGGCAGTCCTCCCGGCGGCCGTCGGGGAAACGCAGCGGCTGGGCCAGGCCCCGCCCCCTTGAGGACACGCCCTGGGCACGCCCCCTGCCCTGCGGGAATGTTGCTGGCTCCCGGCCCGATCCGGCTCCGCCCACCAGGCCTCCCTAGGAGATGCCCGCCAGCCCCGCCCCCGTCCTGGGAAGGAGGGGGTGCCCCTTGCCCCGCCCCGCCCGCTGTGGCCTCCTTAATCCACCCCGCCAGCCCCGCCCCCTCACCCCGCCTTCTCAGAGCTTTCCTCCGCGCCCCTCCTGCCACCCGACCCTGCGCGGCTGAAGTCTGCCTCCCTATCCTGGGCGGGCCCAAGCTTGAGCCCTGCTGGGGGGTGGGGGAAGCCCCACTAACTGCTCTGCCTAACGGCCCCGCCCCTTCTGGGTCTTCCTCGTCCGTCCCAGCCTCCCGCCAGACCCTCCCGCCACCCCGCCGGGGTCAAAGTTCTCCTCCCGGCCTAGGCTAGCCCCCTCGGGCGAACCCCCGCCCCAGGCTCGCCCTTCCCCGCCTCAGTGCCTCCCTAATCCTGTTCTGCCCTGCCAACCCCAACCCCGGGCGGGCCGGCCTCGGCCCCCAAGCTGGCATTCCAGGGCGGGTGTATCCGGGTGCGACCGGGGGACGGCGTGGGAGCGGTTTGCGTTCCAAGTCGGGGCCTTTATCAGCAGGCGGCCTGGGCCCAGGCACTGTTTGAAAATACAACCACCACTGACTGGACCCTCGCCAGGGCCCGGGCTCTCTGCCAAGCCATGTTAACAGGACTGGCCCTTAAATTCGCACAGCTCTATGCGATGGTCCTCTCGTTGCGCCCATTTTACCGGTGAATGGCCTGAGGCTCAGAGAAGGGAAGTCGTGGCCTCAGTCTCACGCTGGAGGGGAGCAGGATCCGGCCCCAAGCCCTGAATCACAAGCTTGATGCTGCCCCAGCTTGCCTGGACTGGCTCCCGAAAAGTGGCCCAGGCCAGCCAGCTGTTGGGGCTGTGCTCAGCAGGCTGCCTGGGGTGAGGGAGGAGGCGTGGGCGGATGAGGCAGGTAGCAGGAGGGTCTGCTGGCCTGAGCCCCAGAAGCTGGTTTCCTCCCTTAAGAAGTGACTCAGAATTAAGATGGCCTGCAAAGATCTGCAGAAGGCTGTGGTGCCCAGACCTGCATCCCAGCCCTCTGCACTCCCAGACCCCAGGGACCAGCCCCAGGCAGGTTTCCTCTTATGACCAGGACCATTCACCTTGCAGCTGACAAAGCTCTTTAACTCCTATTATCTCATTAGTATCTCACAAGGAGGCCATTGTGGGGAGGGTATGATTATGCCCATTGTGCCTGGGTGGAGTAGGGTGGGGAGCTGGATCCCAGCCCAGCATGGTGGTTCCCAAAGCATGGTCCTTGGACCTACAGCAGCCTCAGCAGCGTCTGGGAACTTGTTAGGAATGTGTGTTTTGGAGCCCCATCCCAGACCGACTGAATGAGAAACTCTGGGGTAGAAGCCTAGCAATTTTGTTTTAACAAGGTCTCTAAGTGATTCTGAATCACAAGCAAGATTGAGAACCACTGTTGGGCACAATGGTGAAGAAAGTAGGGTGGTCTGAGAATCACAAAGACCAGGTAGCATCCTAGGAGCCTTGTGACCCAAGGCAAGGCAAGGTACTGAACTTCTCTGGGAGAAACCTGTACAAGGGGAATAATAACACCACCAATCTTGAGGGTGGCTGTTGAGGATTAGGTGTGGTAGTGTTCATGAAATGTCGGCCCACTCTTACGCACTGTGCATGCTCAATAAATGTTCTCTTTCCAGTAAAAAGTCTCCTTTATAGAATCTCCACGCCAAGTCGGGAGACTGGGGCTGGGGGATCTTTAAGCCCAGCAGGGTCCACTCTGTCGTCCTTCCCACAGAGGGACGCCATCTTTCCTGCAAGTGGCCAGCAGCTTAACAAGCTCCCAGATGATGTTGACGCTGCTGGTCCAGTGGCCACTTTCAGAACCACTGTGCTATTCCATCCTGGACTGGCGTCCTAGCCAACCCAAGCAAAATGGACATAAAATACCCTCCTCTTCTACCCTATTCCATGCCGCTCCCCTCAAGCTGGGGGTGTGTGACGGTGATTGGCGGTTGGCAAAACAGCTGGATCACAGTCTCTCCCTCCCCTCCAGGCTGACTTTCGATCACATGAGTCCCATCTGCTATAGCCCTTCTGGTCTGTCACTCCAGATTAGAGATATTGGCAGCTGTGGCAACATGGAGGGGCCATCTGCAGGCAGATTTTAGAATCTCTGCCATATTCCCCTACCACCCTCTACAGCCCCATCAAAGAGGGTCTTTCTAGAGGAGCTCCGAGTCTATTGGTCCTATTCCACAGAACTACCCTAACATGTTAATATGAAAATTGAGGCCCACATAGCTTACATCTAAACATTCAACAGACCGTAAAATAAAATGTTTATTCTCCTACCTTGAGAAATATTCTTTATCGTGACCAAGAGGGTCATGTTCAGACTGAGAATTCTTGGACTCTTTAGAATTCTCTGTGGGAACATGGAAGTGTGGGGTGGGTTAACCCTGACCCCTCAGCCAATCCACTCAGATTCTCTTCCCAGCCCCATGGTCTGTCCTGTGCATACAAGTGACCTAGGACTCAGGCACATAAACACCCCAGCCCTTGTGCCCAAACTCTGTCCACACTTCTTACCTACAGCTGCCGCTCACTCACCCCTCTACGAGTGCACCTGTACTCTCAGAAGGATGGACCTGCTTATGTGGACCATTTAGGCAGAGATTTCTAGGATTTGGGATATCTGAAGCATGACTGCAGAAGGCAGTAGGGTGTAGGTTCTGAGCTGACACAGGTGGCCCTCTTGCCTGGGTCTATGAGTGGCCCCGCTGTTTGTCTCTGTCTCCCCAACACCTAGCACATTGCCTGCTACCTATTGGAAGCTTAAGTCATTGAGGAGAGGTGTGTCTGAAGTATTTACTAAAATGTCACGTTGGCTTGGCTCCCCCCAGTGTTTCCTCTCTTTCAGCCAGGGTCAGGCTTTATCATGATTTACCCCGGGCATTTTGCCGGGCAGCCTCTAGTGAGAGACAACTTCCTTCTTTCGGGAACCTCTTCGGGCCATTCCAGAAGTGAAGCCAGGGGTTTGGGAGGTGGGAAAAGGAGCAAGAAGAACTACTCTAGAAAGACCTGAGAAGAAGATATCAAATGGACAGCTTGGAAGTAGGGAAGATGGTAGTATGGCAAGACCTTTAAAAGGCTTGGGGCATCTGGGTGGCTCAGTCAGTTAAGTGTCCAATTCTTGGTTTTGGCTCAGGTCATGATCTTGAGGTCATGGCATTGAGCCCCATGTCAGGCTCCATGCTGAGCATGGAGCCTGTTTGAGATTCTCTCTCTCCCCCTCCCTCTGCCCTCACTTTCTCCCCTGCTTGTGCTCTTTCTCTTAAATAAAGGGGGGGTATGGTATGGCTATGGGGTTCCCAGCCTCTCAGATGATTCTCCCACCCCAAAGGGGGCACAGGAGCTGCAGAGCAGGAGACCTGAAGGTCCTTGTGGTCAAGAACATAGGTGACAGAGTCTTGTTGGTACCTGGGTACCCAGGCCTAGGTAAGGCCCTAGGACTTTGACATAACTCTGGGAGGAGGAAAGGAAGGAGAGTGGTGTATCTGTTTCCTATTGCTATGTAACAAACCACCCAATCATTTATGTAGCTCATAAATCTGCAATTTGGGGTGGGTTCATCGGGGAAGGCTTATCTCTGTTCTATGCAATATCAGCTGGTTCAGTTGGAGGTGGAGGATCCTTCACAAGATGGTGCACTCACATGGCTAGCAAGTTGGTGCTAGATGCTAGCTGGGAGCTCAGCTAGAGCTGTGGAGCAAGACCTCAGTTCCTCTCCATGAGGCCTGCCTGCAGGCTGCTGGGGCTTTCTCACTGCAAGACAGCTGGGTTTCAAGAGCAAACAGAGAACAAGATAGAAGCACATGGCATTTTATGACCCAGCATCTGAAGCCATGTAGCATCACTTCCTTTGTATTCTATTAGTGCAGGCAATCACAAAGGCCCACCTCGTTCAAGGGGAGGAGACATAGTCTCCCTCTCTCGATGAGGGGGTGGCAAAGTTCTCGAAAAGATTGCAGAAGAGAAGATATTGTCAGAGCCATCTTTGGAAAATACAATCTGCACCAAGTAAGTCCTCAGAATAAGTGGAGAATTTCCTCTGCTTGGGACTGAGTGTCTGAATTAAGCTGAGTTAAAGAGAAAGGTGTATGATGTTTCTTGCATAAGCACTTGTGCACAGATGAATAAGAAGTCCAGGGGACAATGAGTCTTGTATGCTTGGGTTATTTAGGAGCTTCCTTCTTCAGAGAGTCCTCAGAATAGAGTTAAGACCACTCTCCTCACCTTCTATAATGTCTCTTTAAAGCTGTACATTTAAATACCACTCATTTGATCCTCTTAACAATGACTTCTATGAGCTACAGATGATCTCTTAGGATGCCCATTTCCAAGATGTGGAAATAGAGACCCTGAGAAGGTAAGTAACTTGCCCAAGGTCATACAACTAGTCGGTGATGGAGGAAAGAGAAATGACAGTTTGTCACCAACCCAGTTTGCTGTTACAGAAACTGAGCCCCAGGAGAGAAGCCCAAGTTGGGCAGAACCCAGATACCCAGATTCTGAGCACCCAACACTGAGCCACGCAGGCTATCCCTAAAGGCTTACAATGGGTTAAAAAGCTCGGAGGGACCCTGCTTCCTGCCTGAGAAGCAGAAAGGATGCTGGTCCCTGGAACGCTGGAATGCTGGGCTATAGCCCTTGCTTGGCATAAGCTTGCTCCAATCTCTGTCCTCAGAAGTGGTTAGTAGCAATTTCTCAAACCTGAGCACATTTGAATGTGCTCAGCAGGGCCGGGGACTTTTACTAGCTTCTCCAATGGACTCCGTGAGGATCTGAACTCTAAGCCCCTTATAGCTGGTTTGTAGCTGGGGGAGGGCCCAATTTCCCATGGGAGAGACTGACCCACG